GGCTTCAACAACACGTCTCCACTCTGCCATGCCTTCTGCCGTTCTCTTCAACTGGGTCCACGATTACTCGTCCCCTCTAACACAAACGATCTCCTCCATGTCACCCTTCCACCGACGACCAACTCGTCGCTTCACATTCGGATGACACTAGGGTAATGGCCACTTAGCATTGTGGCCACATTGGAAACTTTACTGCTAGAATTAGGTGTGCATCCAAAGATAGGACTAGGTACATTGCACTAGTAAAGCATCAAAAATATCTGATACAATGCTACAAGAGGTCAATCGCGAGCCCGAATAGCTGGCTCAGTGGTAACGCCTCTGACTGCAGTACTCACTGGGTGACGTCGGTGAGACATGGGTCCCTTCGAGGTCGAACATGCGCCTTGCTGAATTCTGAGTGCCAACTTCCATGAAACCTAGGTCGAGCGAGACTTCCTGTCGATTACCTCCAACCATCTGATGATACGCTTGTCATTCGTTCTATTTGTCTCTACATTTTCCCTCAAACCCCTCCTTATATTGGAAATCACTAGATAGGCAACACAATTGAATTTCGTAATATGATATCTTCAATGGGGATGTGATTTCGTCTTATGTGAGAGGATTCAGGATCAGTAGTCAGTTCTTACCTAACTGCTTCTATAGCTATACTGATTAGTGTATTAGTATGAGGACTAGTTTTCTGAAAAATGACCAATTTCCTCGGAAATTACAAAATGTTTATCACAACGAAACCAGAAGAAGAAATTAAGCAGGAACAAGTGAAGTCATTTAATTCTGTGTTGGATCCCCTCAACCACATGTACCACAACAATAAACAAATTTCTATCGACAATACACAAATCGTTCACGTAGCATAGTTATTGATCATAAGGTGAATGGCGCTTTATATCACGTAATTTAATACCATGATAGAAGGGAATGCAACTTGCCGTTAAGCTTGTGAGTATGTAAGGTCGGAACACCTAAGAGGACATAGCAGGAGAGTTCAAAAGCCAAGAAGAAATCACATCTCACACAGAGTCGTAAACTCTTAGAAGCGACTCCCAGAAGGAGTGGTGTCTGCAACCTCAAGTGACTCATTCAAGACGGGTTCGGACAACCACAGAAATTTACTAGAAAAGAATCAACATAGGCTGCAAGCCTTCTATCCTCAACCAATAAATCTGAATCTGAAATCTGTATTAATGCGTAATAGTGTCTTGATATCCCAGACAAATTATCGCTAAGAAAGACATGCATTTAAAGGAGTTATGCATAGAAATGACTATTATTTTCGTTTGAGAGCTTTAAAGTTTTGTTATTTGCGAGTTGTTCGAGATTTTCAGGTTGTAAATTGACTGCGGGCAATGGTTGTTGCCATAGCAGTCAATTTGTGAGAATCAGGTAATTGAAAGAGAATAAGCCCATAGAGATAAGTTAGATGTATGTTCTGAGGAGGTTAAGCAGTTTTAATTTCATCCGTGATGAGTGAAATCTCCCATAACACATCGAAGAAATCATACAGTGAATGAGAAAAGCAGCTGAATTTCGTAGTGATTATGTCCATTTTGATGAAGTTCCTGGTTCAAATTGGTCAGCCGAAGATGTGTTACCAGTTGAATGTACGTACATTGTCACATGGGATTTCGGAAGACCGTAACTGCTCATTGCATTAAATGGCATCAACTTGTCTTGATTGATGTCAGTGTGCACTGGGACAAGAATAATATTATGGATGGTCCTTCTGAAATGTAACAGAGTTTGTAGTTAGTATTACATTTCTGTCGAATAGTAGCTAGCAGCTGCATCCTATCACTAGTACACCTGTTACGTAAGTTGTACCAGTCCTAATAATCATTCATTTTCAGATTACTAAGATATTCTGAGCTCCTTCATGAATTAATTACCTGTGGCTATGAAGGATACGGAGGCTGCACTTACGACTCATTTTTTTTGAACCATTTATTGTTCAACGGATTATCTATGGGGATTTTGTGATGTTCAGGTTACAATGCTTGAGTATATGTATTTACTGCATGCTGTTGTGCGTGAAGGGACAGCGCTGATGAAAGTGAAGAGGAGATCAAGCTTCCTATAAAATCACTAGTGATACTGCAAATTGTTGATAAGAAACTGCGTCAAGAGCAATACTCTGGACAGATAGAAAGTGCTACTCCAGTTTCCATAGTTACTATGGGCCCTACAGAAATTCGTAAGACATCTTACAGGTCATCGTGTCTTGTCTTAAGGGTTCTAATCTTCCAGATCGTTGAATTCGCTCCTCACTGAAATATCACTTATATCTACCTCACGATTATTTTTCTCATTCACGCAATATTATGCTCTAGTTTATCTTAATTACCTAGGTGTTTATTAAAGCTAAAACTTACTCTTTCTTCATATTTGTTGCTTGCTTGAAGTCTGGTTGCTTAAATGAAAAAAACACACCAAAACAAAGCCATATTTTCATCGGAAACGTCATGCCTTCCATGATAAGGCCAAATACGGTTAGCATTAAACATTGCAAGTGTATACTACCATTCCAAGGACTCTACAGCCACTTGCCGTATATATCTTGTAGGTGTACTTTCAAGGATGTATTATCCGTAATTGTATTTTATACCATTATGCAGTTTCTCGGGTCGTTGTTATCTTCCTGGGATAGCTTATAATCACGCGAGGGTATAGCACTTACCCAAATATACGGTGTTCATTGTGAAAGGTTTACAATTTAACATTTAAGATAGATAACCTGTTCTGATTGCTTGTACAATAATCGAGCGATTTAAACTTTTGAAAAAGCATTAATTTATGATACTTCACGACTGCAATTCATAACATAACTTATTGTGCCTGTAGAAATGGTGTGCATTGCTTGTAAACACCCGTTTATACAACATATTAAATTAGTATTATTATTATAATTTGCTTAGTGCTATTCTTGACAAGATGAACAATGTGTGTACGACAGTGAAAACCACAGAAGTATGGTGTCATGACCAAAGAATGAGAAAGGAGAATGACCCTTTTTCAGCATAGGTAGGCGAACATAAAGCGTCTAACTTTTATATTACTTTTGATAACTTCAGCGATTTAAAAAAACAACATTTTATTCACTGTTTTGCAGATATCGGGTAACGTCAGTCAACCTGGTCACATCAATTCGACATTGCCGAAATATTTACGACAAACAGTTGTGTAAAGACATTTGCCTGTTATTATTTTTCATTTATACATATATGTATTCAACACCCTGCTTACCATACTTTTCTTATTCTATCTGAGTGAAACTAAATTTGTCATCATGACGAGATAGAGGCCTGACTTATCAATGAGACCTGAGAAAGTAATTGGTGGCACAATTCACTGTAAGCGGAATATTGCCACGACTGCCACCACTCCATCTACTCAATTATGTGTCACATGTAGACTTCATTTTTCAGTATAATCATGTGGTGGATTGACACCACGCTTTAAGTGAAATAATAATGGTAATGCACTACTTTTGAATACATTTAGTCTTATACGAAATCGAACTCCACTGCAGTGCCTACATTCTATTCTTATTTATGAAATACACAGGCTAGCTTATTTTGTAATTGGTCCCTACAGATTCACCTATGGCTAGGAGACGTGATCGCGTAATTTTAGGCAGATGTTAAGGCTTGACTAAACTACTTATAATTCACCACTTATATCGATCGATAGTGTTCCTACAGAATTACACTTATGTACAGTAACGAGTTCATATCCTAGGGAGTACCGGTCTAGCATGACGTACTCTCACCACATGCAGAACAAATAAAACACGAGAATATTAGATAGAAAACTTTATTTCACTGCAACACAAACAAGTTTATTTACATGTATTATCTGAGCACAGTCCAAGATGAAAGTCTTCGTTTGGAAAGTATCGCCAATTATTCGACGGAAACTGCCCAGTGTCCGAAGTGCGTCACGTTTAAATTTTTCCGAAATTCAAGTAAATAGAAGTTTATGCCCACATCCAAAGCTATCCGGTATCACAAACAGAATATTAAACAGAATATCTGCATGGTTATACATGAATGAGTGAACTTACCTTCACTTACTGTTGTATGTAGAATCAATACCTACAACTGATTGTGCAAATGTATCTAGTCATAAGTCGTTACACACTCGTCAGCGTTTTTCGGATGTCAATGACTGACTTCTCATTGGTGTTGAAAATCCACATCTTGTTCCTTATCGTGAGTGAGTGAGTGTAGAAGCTTTCTATACTGGTTTCAGGTTGATGAAGGCGTATCTTGTACTCACGATACACATATAAAACAAAGTAGAGAATGTGAAATCACGTAAGAGTTCTAAATGAATACAAGAATGGAAAACGAATGAAAAACTTCCTTCCTTGATATGCAGCTAACAAGAAGAACTGATGGAACCTTGAGAAGATCGGTGCAGTTGCCCACTGATATGCAGAAGCCTTAAGGACAACACCCCGCATCTGACCACTTCTATGTGCATATATCTGTTCACCTGCTGCTGTAGAGCCAGGTACATCGGTCGTTCAATGTGCATCCTGCCCAAGAGGATTCAAGAACACTTTCCATTATGGTTGCGAAAAGGCAATAGTGGTGGTGCTATAAGGAGTGCAATAATTGAACAACACCTGGTTAGTGCTGACCATTCCATCATAACAAACGCTTCCTGCTTCAAAGTAATCTACAGAGTCAAGAATAACCTACCAGAGGTAATACGCTCTCGTTTTCATTGTATTCTTGAAGATAATATAAAAAACGTGAAAAAAAAGGAATTGCTCAACCAATTTTACTATCATGGTAACAACTTTGTTGATTTTTGATGACTTAATTTTGTTTGTTTGCTTGTATTATTGATTGTCCGTTCCATGTACAACTAACTAATTTTTACAGTTGGGTGCCTATTTCCAGGAAAAGGAACCTATTTCATTCACTCCGCTTTAAGATAAGAAAAACATTTGTAGTTCTGATTGCGTTGACTCAGAACTTGACTTCTTAAAAGCCACACTCGCAGAAAACGGTTACCCTAACCGATTTATTGACAGCAACATGAAAGATAAGCAGTCTAAACTGGTCACCGACTCAGTTCCAAAGAAAACCTTATTCATGAACTTGGAATTCAAAGGAGATCAAGCTTCAGATATGCTCAAAAATCGTCTCTCTAAATCAGTCAGTAAGACGTTCCTTGCAGCAAAATTACATATGACGTTCACGAGCCACAAATTGTTCTCTATCTCTGTAAAAGATAAGCTCCACTGTATGACCGCCTCCATGTGCATCTATCAGTTCACCTACTCTCGTGGAGCAAGGTACATTGGCCGTAGTCAAAGGACGCTCCCCACACGGATACGAGGACATATTCCAGCTGCATGGTTTTACAAGGGAGAAAGGAAATGTGTGCGAAGCTCTATTCTGGAACACCTGATCAACTTCTGTCAACCCTGACCATGATTTCAAGATCGCATATATAGAATCCATGCTAACCTCCCGCGTTTTCTTCGTTACAGACTTCTAGAGACAGCTGAGGCCTTAGCAATTCATGACCTTAAGCCAGACCTTTGTGTACAAAAGAAGTATGTACAATCCCTACTTCTGCCTTGGCCGTAGAGGGATAGACATTTATTTATTTTGTTTATTTAGTTATTCTATGTACTTTTCCCTTGTTACTAGGATTATTCTTACTACTATTACTATTATTACTATTCTCACTCTGAATCTTTTCCACTTGACCCACCTGTCATTTTAAACCCAAAATTATTCATTTTTATATATTTTATTTTTACAATATTGAATTCTATCTTATCAAATTTCACGCCATGTTATGTAATATTTTATATTCGTCTACTAATCTTATAATTATGTACCCCTTTCCAAAATCTATGTATTATTCTATATATGACATTAATTATTTTGCCACTAGACATTAAACCATGATTATAATCACACACATTTCAATTGCACTTCATACTACTATTATTATTATTATTTCATGTATTCACACCTTTGACCTAATTCCCTCACCGGATATAATTTCTTTAAAAAAACCATATATATATAAACGATTGTACTGCTTGATAATAAATTCGTTGTTGAAAAGAGTCTCTCCGCTGAATATTGTATCTCTGGTCACTTATTCATTCATATATCCAACCAACTGTGACTCAGAATTCTATACACCAATATTATCATATCACATTTGAGTGTTTCCACTCACTGTCAAACTTCATCACACCCATAAAAACACACACACACACACCCGTACAACAGAACTACTTGTTTGTTTGAGATACTTATACATCAAGATATGTAAGCGTACACTGGTGTTTTCAGTCATGATCGCTCAAGCGAAATGAAAGAGATAATCTGCTGTCTAGCTGTTCCCCTTCTCTATGTGTATTTATAAGTTTAGCTGGTTCTGTGGAGAAATCTGTAAAGGACGAACAACTAGACAGCTCAATAAACGTATTGATGAGCATCTTCCTCCATGGTTCGAAAAAGGCCAAGTAAAATCTATAAGAAGTTCTATTTCGTCGCATTTGATTGATGATAGCGGTCGCCAAATGGACAGAAGAAGTACCTTCAATGCTTAGCTATCACATTGCATCAGATCATTGAAACGAAATCCGAACCCCACTTGTTACACATAGCCAAAGTTATGGGGTTTCGAGAGAACAATCCTAGTCTATGTATACAAAAGAAACTTGTTCTACATTTGTCTCTCACCTGGCCTAGGTAAATTCCAACTTTTAGAAGACCCTCCCATCCTTTCATAATTTCCAATTCCTTCGTACTCTTATGATATTTATTTGAACTGCTATCACCTGTCTATTTTAATTACGTTATATCCATGTTCACACCATCTCTTGGGATTGTTTTGTTTCTAATTCACACATTTATGATTTCTACTCATATATATATGCACATATATGAGATAGAAATCACCCATATCGACTGATGAAGCGAGTGCAGCGATCACACATGACTCAAAAACATATGCATCAAAGAAAACCTACATGGTATTCTGAGAAAGTTATTTACAATAAGGAAAGATATCAACGAAGCAAAAGAAAAGTTGAAAGGACCAACTGAGAAGGAAAAGTATGAAAGCATACTACAAGTTGCACTGAAACGAAAAGAAACTACCTATGAAGAAACAAATCAAAACCGTCAATAGACTCATGATCGGAAAAACCAAGAATCACATACAAGTAACTAAAATCAATTGGATTGTAAACACGCCAGACAGAAAGCTAACAGAATAACAGAGGAAAGCGTACTTACTGATCAAAGGGACGAACTTCAATATCAGTAACAGAAGATTAGAACCTGAAGATATTATACCGGTGGTTGAAACAGCACCAGAAGCACATGACAAGCAATAAGCAGAATTACTACGGACACAATGTGCATTTATTCTTAAACAAGAACAAAAAGCAGAAAAACTAAATGTAACCAAGAAGGAACTAAAAGCAATTCAAGACATAAAAGCAGACAAATCCATTGTCATTACTCACTCAACCAGACAAAGCAAACACAACAGGATTACGTGACTAAGCAACATACACGTAAAAGATGAGTGGACATTTACAATCTGGACACTATAACCATCCTAATGTCCAAATCATCAGAAACAATCACAAACAAAACTATGAAAGAAACAGCAAGGGTGGTTCGACAGATGAAACAAGCAATCGGTAAATTCAAATGGTTTGAAATTATCCCGAAATCATGTAATATACATGGGACACATGGCAACATAAAATTCCACAAACAAGGATACCAGATAACACCGATTGTAGACTCTAGAAACACACCAACCTATATGCTGTCAAAATTTCTCTCAACCAACACTGAGACTAACAAGAGACAACTTAAAAGCCAGAGCAGTAGATTCGTGTGAATCAGTGAGACGACTAAATCAGTAAAATAGGCGAAGAGGAAATACTAGTCAGCTTTGATGGAAACATGTTGTGTTGCTCTATTCGACAAAACTAGCACACACGTATATCCCAGTACTTCTTCGCGTTTATTATTGTACCATAACGTTGTGATTACTCGCACTCGACATCCACAACGTAAATCAAAAGCCACTTGACAAGGAGTACGAACGTGTATTCTCGCAGTAGTCAAGACCACTCAAAAGTCAAGCGAGTAGTACAATGCACCAGTTGTTAACACACAATCTTCAGACTGATAAACAAATCAAAGTCCAATTACATAGTGAAAGTTTACTACGATGATGAATAATAAAATGGGTCACTACAGACAAACAGTCTCTACACTAAAATGTCCATTCAAATGGCCAAGAATGCACTGAAAACGAGACTCAAAGAAGATAATGGCCTAAAAGTCAGGACACAGTTATCCGTAGAGGAGATAATAAGAGGAGTTCAATCCTGTCTGTTATTTAAACGCATAAAAAAACTTGGTACAAATATGGCACCAAAATGATGCGCCGTACAATTTTATTTCATTTTTTGTGTGAGGGCTGAGATACTGCGCGGGCGCCCAGACCGAAGCAGGTGGTTTTCTTAAGGGACCAGCCGCCGAGCCTTTCACTTGGAGTCTAATCCGCAAGACAGCGAAGCAGCTTCAGGAGCCGCATTCCCATGGTTTCCGGTGACCCATATGGGTTCATACGCCATTTGATCCGATTGGATTCTGGAGTCCATGTACCCCATGGTAACTGCTTTTAGTTTAACCGCTATCCTAACAACCTTTGTCATTTTTATTGTCACCTGCATAAACCTTATCATTAGTATTATTATTATTATTATCAATTTTGTTATCATTATAATCATCATTATTACTGACGTTCAAAACATTCAACACATTAATTCATATGAACTGTGATCAAGATTTGACTGAATTGTTCCAGAAGAATTCGGCGCCGACGGACATGTAGACATATGTAAAATATGTCATATACTTGCAAAATCGCAGCGAAATTGAAATGAGTAATTCCATCGTTTCGTTCAGTTAACTACTAGAAACTTCTTCCGGAAAGTTAATCGAAATCAGAGTAACAAAGATTTATGCATCACTTGAATATTCCCATAATTTATTCAGAACAAATGCTCAAACGTGACATCGAACAATCGTGAATTCAATTCATTCTCCTTCAGGCTCTACATTCATAAATCCATCAAGCTAAGCACACAATAGCCAGCCAGTCAGTAAAGGCTAATTAGAATCATATCACAAAGTGTATTGTGGAACGAGTTTAAAAGCCAATCTACTTATTATTCATCCACACGTGATTAACAAATCACACCTCAGATTTCTCAGGCACGTGATGAGGATTTACCTCGACTCTCATGTGATGATAATTCACGCAGCCTTAATATTTGTCATGGTTTATCGGTCATTTACTCATTCATTACCCCATCTGCTTCCTCAAATGATGTTTAATTTTAACCAGTGTCACGTAAAATTGCCTTACACGTTATTGTCAATCATTATAGTTTTCTCTATGAGAATGCGATAATGCAGGGTTTCTTCGACTAACAACCCAAGTCTACGTGTCATCAGAATGCTGATTCACAACCGGTCAACCATTAAGCCGATGAAAGTGAATCGGATCATGAGTTCAGACTGTATTTTGTATGACTTATTTTGGAGGCGGATGAAGTTATAGAGGAGGGAATGACTGATCAACTGTGGCATTAGAAAGGCTGTGTGAATCATCATGATATGAGAATCGATGTATGTCTTCATCATGCGCCTGCAAAATATCATGTGTGATATATCGAACAGACAGATATGATCATAGTGTAGATATTAATGTTAACGATGAGGGTGACTGAAAGACAAAATAATAATAATGGCGTTTCTGTTGTCTGAATTTTTATTCCAGGTGACTCATCAGATAACTGCTTCCCCTGTGTGGACCGCATGATTAGGGTGGATCGAATAACTGCTGCTCGTCATACAATTGCAGAAAGATGGTTGATGGAAGGAAGTGTGTCTGAAACTATCATGAACCAGGCAGACGATGACAACTGTTGCAGCAACAAATGCACCAATGGCGTTAGTGCATCCATAACATAGATCTCCTTCTGTCGAATCTCTCTGTCTATCTAATTTCTACTCTCTTCACTTTTACTCCAGGGAGATTCATCACTCTTCACTAGATTTATTATTGAGTAGGATCATGTAGTCGCTACATGGTTGATCCCTCTTCTCATTTTCACCTGTTGTAGTCTTTGTTTAACTCTGTTAGTTTCCGTTAGTCAATAGTAATAAATGATTTAGTTTTTAATGTGATCTGAATTATTTTGTCAATGTGGAATTTGTGTTGATTTGTGTACGATGTATCTGGGCGACCTATCTCACCGTCCAGATTCTTATACATTTTGTTGGAAATATAATGATTTGAAATATCCTACCCCATTTCGCATTTCTTTGCTATTCTCGTAGTTTCAATATGTCGGGTGGTATTTTATTTTAGTCACAATCATGCATGTCTCTGTGTTTCTGTTTATGGTTCAACATTTGTGTTCACTTTGGTCTTCCGATCGTGTTATCTTTTATTGTATGATAATCGCTTCACCTCTTTTTCGATAGAGGCTTTACA